GAGAACATAAAATTCATATCTTCGAGCTAATGTGTAATGTTCTTTTTATTACACAGACATACTGATGACCGCATTTGTTACGATTTTCGGAAGATTTCCGAAGATTCTCCAAAACTTGTTGGAAGGTCACACGAACGTTGTCGAACATTTTCCGAAAATTTCCGATGATTACCGAAGATCGCTGAAGATTAATATTGTCGAAGCATTTTGAGGAAGACCCGAAAATGTTTTGATCATACACCAACGAATTTAGGTACAATTGAAGAGGCAAACTTGATATCAGTGAAATCATTGATATCTTCACTGGTGAGGGTATTGAAAATATGCTACCTGAGTCCCAGATGTGGTTTTGTATGAATTTTAATTTAGGAGTGGTGTATTTTCCAGTAAAACACTCATGTCTATATAATAAAAAGCTATTCTGAAGACCAAATCTCAGACGTTTCTTTTATTGTTTGTTTTATTTTTTTTTGCCATTTATGGGATGGACATACATGGATATTCAGTGCACATCAAAAAAATCTTGTTATATCTGTCTACCTTTTATTTATTTACTTACTTATTGATGATACATGTAGTTGCTACATCTTGCAGGTGTATATATTTATGTCAAATGTTTTTGTTATGTTAAAGTTTATATCTGTATCCCAGTAGGAGACCACAGTATTATTTAATGTTATAAAAGCATGAAAATGTTAAATAAAATTTACTTGTTAATTTTTGAATAACAAAGTCTTATTAATTTATTTAGTCTCCCTTATTTTCTTTCATCAACAGCTCTCACAAGGAGCTTACAGCACAAAAGAAAACAGACCACACCTTGTGATGGCAAATGAAATTAGAGCTGAGGTGAGTGTCCAATTCTGTACTAATCTTGATCTTTATTCAGTTTTGGAAATACATACTCATGTAATTTTGTATACTTTTAAATTTCAAAGTAATTTTAAGTCAGATTTTGAATTAGATACAGACTTATTTATTTCATTCCACAGATTTTTCCAGGGACAGATCTTTGCATCACATACAGTTGCAAAAAAGACAATTCAGAGCAAAATAGTAAAAANTTGAAAGGGCATAGAAAATCGAGGATTCAACCAAATTCAAAAATTTCTTCGCCCAAATGCTTCAAATAAAGTCTAGATTTGTTTTAGCGAAAAAAAAAAATTTTGGGGTTAGGTGCACTTTAAGTATTGTAAAATTTACACTTGCACCACTTCAAAAGTAAGGTTTGGTGGCGATTTTAGCTCATCTGATTTTTGCTGGATATATAGAGGATATTACATGGTGGCGAGAAGATATGAATTTTATGTTCGAGTTGCAAGAACATTATCTCACGAGTGAGCGCAGCAAATGAGTGAGATATTGTTCTTGCCAGGAGAACATAAAATTTTTATCTTTGAGCTAACGTGTAATGTTCTTTATATTATATGTCGAACATACTGATGACGGTGTTTTTTACGATTTTCCAAAGATTTCTGACCGCTTTCCAAAGATTTCCGAAGATTCTCCAAAACTTGTCCAAAGGTTACACAAACATTGCCAAACATTTTGTGAAAATTTCCGATGATTACCGAAGATTGCCGAAGCATTTCGAGGAAGACCTGAAGATGTTTTGATCATACACCAACAAATTTAAGTACAATTTAAGAGGCAAACGTGATATCAGTGAAATAATCGATATCTTTACTCGTGAGGATATGGAAAATACGCCACCCGAGTCCCGGATGTGGTTTCATATGAATTTTACAAGTGGTGTATTTTCCAATAAAACACTCGTGTCTACATAATAAAAAGCTACTCTGAAGATATAAATCTGAGATGTTTCTTTTGTTTGTTTTATTTTTTTACCATTAACAGGATGGACACACATGTATATTCAGTGCACATCAAAAAAAATCTATGTTATATCCATCTACCTTTCATTTATTTATTGATGATATATTTAGTTGCTACATCGTACAGGTGTAAATATTTATGTTAAATGTTTTTGTTATATTAAAGCTTATACCTTTATCCGAGTAGGAGACCACAGTATTATTTAATGTTATAAAAGCATCAAAATGTTAATTTACTTGTTAATTTTTCAGTAACAAAGTCTTATTAATTTATTTTAAGTTTCCCATATTTTTTTATCAACAGCTGTCACAAGGAGCTTACAACACAAAAGAAAACAAACCACACCTTGTGATGGCAAATGAAATTAGAGCTGAGGTGAGTGTCCAATTCTATACTAATCTTGATCTTTATTCATTTTTGGAAATACGTACTGTAGTTTTGTACACTTTTGAATTTCAAAGTAATTTTAAGTCAGATTTTGAATTAGACACAGACTTAGTTATTTCATTCCACAGATTTTTCCAGGGACAGATCTTTGCATCACATACAGTTGCAAAAAAGACAATTCAGAGCAAAATAGTAAAAAGGTACAACATTTAAATGTTTGTTGTAGCCATTGAGCCCAATTCCTATTAGGATGATCAATATTTTATTTCTCCTTTAAATGTCGATACATTGTTCAGTAAAAAGGTGATGAAAATAAAGAGAATCACCAAGCATGATAAATTATTATCATTTATTAAAAACTGGGTCATTGGATAATGTAATTCGAGAGTTTTCATACTTTGGAAGTATGTTTTATGTGTAGATGCATACTTCTTTTGCATGTATATATTTTTGGCGGTGTGACAATTTTCTTAGTGAATTTTTACCTTTTAGACCTTATGTATTTTTACTTATGCACTCTAATAAAGGACCTTTGATACCAGTGTTTATCACACTGACAGGGTTATCTTGTATAAATATAAATATTATTATTTTTATTATAATTATTATTATATGGTAAGTGTATGCATGTTTTTTTTTACATTTATTTTTATTTTAGTTTATTTTTCTATATTTTTGGGGCGTTTTCAATTTGTATTTTATTGTATATAATAGCAAAGTGTGCATTTCTGTTAAACAGGGCTTTCTATTGTTTACTGTTATTTCACTTGCAGCTGCAAAAATGTAGTTTTGTTTTGTCACTGTTTATTCAGTTTCCATTTACCCAGTATGTTATTTAACTAGCCATTTGGTAATATTTTGAATCTCTGAATGTCAAACTGTTATTGTTTATTTCATGTGGTTCTTGTAAATTGCAGTCGGCAGAGAAAGAGAAAGCCCCTCGCGTGCATTCCCTGGAGTATGCTCTTCACTCTCTTCTCAGAAAGCAGCACCATCAGACACAGACTCTGGTAACCCCTCGTCCTGTCACAGCATACCCCATGCAGGGTGGCAACAAGAGACTCTGCCTTGCTGGGACCTCGGCGATGACAGCAGTTGAGGTAACTCCATATCTACAAAGGTTTGTGGAACTTACACTGTAAACTGTCCTTTTAAATAAATGGATCTACACTATAAGCTGCCTTCAGAATGTTTCAGTTCAGTGTGGGTCTGTTTGGCTGACCAGATACTTCTGTAATATCTTAGCTTGAATAGGATGATTCCTCTTACATGTACATATCCCTTGTGAGATAACTTTAAGAATTCCTAGGAATCTAAGGTGTGAATTTTCACGGTAATTCAGACTCGGAATTCCTAGGAATTCCAACTGNGTTATACAGGGCTTTCTATTGTTTACTGTTATTTCACTTGTAGCTGCAAAAATGTAGTTTTGTTTTGTCACTGTTTATTCAGTTTCCATTTATGTTATTACTAGCCATTTGGTAATATTTTGAATCTCTGAATGTCAAACTGTTGTTGTTCATTTCATGTGGTAAATTGCAGTCAGCAGAGAAAGAGAAAGCCCCTCGCGTACATTCCCTGGAGTATGCTCTTCACTCTCTTCTCAGAAAGCAGCACCATCAGACACAGACTCTGGTGACCCCTCGTCCTGTCACAGCATACCCCATGCAGGGTGGGAATAAGAGACTCTGCCTTGCTGGGGCCTCGGCGATGACAGCAGCTGAGGTAACTCCATATCTACAAAGGTTTGTGGAACTTACACTGT